GTAAACATTTTGTTTCAGACACCCATAACGTGGTATAAGTATCCAAAGCAGAACTGAGGGTGGCGTAGTTTTCCAGTTGTAGGGCATCGTAGTGCCGTTGATCTTCCTCGCCAAGCACTTGCCTGAATAGTATGATTTTGTGAGCCTCAGAAAGACAAACAGTAGGATTCAGTATAGGAAATAATTCCACATAGTTACTAAATGATTTTCTCCATCTTATCCAGTTCGATAAGGTCGGTTTTCCCTCAGCAGATGACCAATATATAGGGGGTGTATTCAACATTGGGTTCCTCCTTTTCGTCGCCACTAAAATGTAGTACCACTTCGTATGTAACGCACGCATCCCAGATACGTAATTCCAGCAAAGAAAAGACGGCTAAACAGCAGGAGGTTTCTCAATCAATTGCGAATGTACAAGATTCATGGAAACTCGCGCCACGAGCCCGGGAGTGTGTCAGATGATTGGCTGGCTGGTGTGAGTTGTAATCAATCCGCGCACGGCTGATTTAAACGGATCGAAGTCATTCACGTAGGTAACACAATGGAACCAGTACACTTTCAACACTCAAACGCATTGTCCTAGCAACCTTTCACACGCCTCTGAAGACCTCGTCCTACCCAGGGAATGGGATGAATTGAAATAGCAGGTGACAGAACAATTTGGCGTCTTTACATGACTTGTTATGCAAAAGGACAGTCTTGCTTCGTTGGCTACTTTCGGCGCACAGCAAAGCGAGGACCTGGGAAGTATTCTTGAAGCTTTAGCCATACCGTGTTTTCTTTGTCTGAACTGATCCAACAATGCGTCAGACTCCTCTAATACAAGTCGATTCTATTTCTTAGTCAATACATCCTTTGAGAAGCAGAGTACACAATTTCACATTAAGCTCAGTTAGATGCTAAAGTCACTTGTGTTGGTTAACTACCATCGAGGCGTCGGTCCGCTTTCCGCAAAAAGGTACATGTGAGTAATTCACTCCAGTAAAATCAGCCGCCCTACTCTTAACGCAGCAATATCAGGAGTCCCGTGGCTACCGTCAGAACTGGAGGATTCAGCATTGGTATAGTTTATTTAGAGTTTGGCAACTCCATCAAGACAAATAACGGGTATAGAATTGTACGAACTGTTATAGCTATTAGCTCGTAGAAGGACTCGCCTAACAAGTTGTCAAGATAGGTCATCAAAATATCATCTAAGTTAACTCCTATCTACTACCCAATAAGATGAGACTCCCGGACATGCAGCAATCGTTAATCCTTCGAGAAGCGCAGGGGGGACAAACAAACAAGAGTCAGGTCTATTCTCGCATGCAATTATTTACGCCTACACAATGGGTGGTACTCGACAGTTAATTAAATACACGAAGACCATATGCTTCCTATGGAAATCATTTCGGACTGGGTCACGGTGGATCACCCGTGCAAATTCTCTCACTTTGTAGACTCAGGATCAGATTTCTAAAACAGCGTGACATGTCGTGTACATAAATGTTATCTTATCAGAACCAATACGGCTGCCTGAGAACGCTAATGTTTTCCGACACTTTTTGATCGCTGAATGGTTACTGGATGCCACATGGCACGGGTTACACGTTGTCACTAGATATCTCCCCTACATTACTTGCGCCCAGATAGAATAATGCTAAAAGCACTGATAGGTGACCATCTAGAGAATGCACGAAAACAAACAAAGCACTAAGTATGTCAGTTTTTGTGATATGTTTCTAAGCTGCCGCCCACACCCAGGATTAATTTCCAACCAAAGTACCTTTAGAATACCTACCGTAGGTTTTGGGACGACAAACATATCACAGGAATGAGATCATCCAGATTCAGTGTGTTCTAATCCTGTACTCGCAAGAAATCATCACATATTGGTCCTAGAGGGCTAAATGACTCATATGTAGTGCGTTATATGAATCCACAAAGCAGAAACGTTTATCTTTGCTTATGACACCACTTTGGAGGGGACATTTAGGTTGTGTTTACTGCGATAAACACTCTATTCCATTTGATAAGTGACGGGTTTATTGTTGTGGTTGTGAAGTTGCATTTAGAGTGGAATTTCTGAAGTAGTCAGTAAAGAAGCTTCTAGAGCTCAGTGCCATTCTCACAGTAGCCGGTTAAATAGTCGCAATTTGGTAACAGAGGAAGTCAAAAGAAGATAACGTGAAATTAGACTTTACTGCCCGTATGCATGACCGTCAAGCTACATCCCAAGCCTTAAATATACTAAGCCACTTACGCTGTAGTTAGTCTGAAAATGATCAGTGCAAACATACAAATTCCATAACCGCGACTTACATACCACTGACTGCGTTCACGTGACGTTTTGTATTGTTTTCGTTCTGACCAAGAATATTCTTAGCTTTGCAGGAGAGCAAACTTAATCGATGGGTTAACCAGTAGAAACATCTCGAATAATTGGTTTTAAGCATGTTGGTGGGTTGCGTTCGAGGTGGATTCACCATAGGCTGTTACCTGTGCTTTAGTACACCGTAAGATTAGTCTTTTCGCCTTGTACGCTTTGTTACCGATAGCGAAGCTTCTTCCTTTAGCGGTCGCAACTCAGAGTAACATTGTGTGCCAAGGTAATATTCGCACAATCGCCTCGAGTTGAACTGAAACAGCTTTCCGTATTTCACATTCATTTACCCGACTTACCTAATGGATCCAGATATGTCACTCAAAGTATGCGCTGATTATCCACTGCTTAATCGCGCAAACTCCCTGACAGTAGTAGTAGTAGTTTGTAGTAGTTTGTACTACGTAGTAGTATGGAATCTTTGACCTAACCATAAACTCATTCGACAGACAGACGACGTCGACTCAACAGGAGATGGGTATTATCTGATGAAAAATATTATTAACAAGTTACTATTGAAATCGCATCAGTTTTTAGAACACCAATGTGAAGATTATGAGCGTTCCCGGCACATCCATTAGTACTTTCGGCAATAGATGTATGTCATGTTTTAGCAACTGTATGTCCCACACTCCTCACTTTCGCTTACATGACAAGATACACATCGCTCGTTCATCCTAAAATCTGTATTTGAAAGTGAAGAAGATAGGAAGCTGGCTTTTCCAGACATAGTTGATCAGTTGATCACTAATTGTCACATATTTAAATTTAACAAACATTAGTCAAGCAAGAAATGACTAACCAAATAATCCATTGATGTTGGCTCCGTCACCTTTATTTTGAAAATATTTGTTTAGCGTCTATTCGGTCGGATAATCTTTAGTATTTATCCCTACCAGTGGCGCGTATGCTTCATCGAGATATTCAAGCTTCACTGATAGATAACACATATTCTTTTCTTGACTTTTCTTGGTTCGACTTGACGTGATGACAGATTGCTAGCGCTGAAGTCCTCTGTTAGCAATGTGTGAGAAATTACTCTCCCCACTTCAATTACGTCCCGATGAAAAGTAAAATTGAGGTAGCAGGTTACTTTCACTATCGTCTTACAATAATTCGCATTTCGTACCAACGGATGGACCTTAGAAGGCACGGGGAAACAGCGTGTTCCTTGCGCATTCTATAGTCGGTGCTCATCATAAAATTCCTATGCCTGTACAAAAGAATAAACATTTCAGTCACCTAGTGTTTAACATTCAGTTTTTGTTGCTGACTAGAATACCTAAGATCACTCCGGGTGACTTTAGTCCAGACTCTCAGAGCCAACATTTCACTACTCCTTTCAAAATCTGGAAGTTAGGCAACCGATTCAGTTACCAAATGCTTCCTGTGAAACATGCCAAGAGCGTGACTAGAAGTGTATCGAGGCGATTACTACGGTGTTGTCGTGCCGTTCCTCTTCGTAGAAAGCGAGAGTTAGCACCGTTTGTAACCGTATTAAAGCTGCTCACAACTAGAACATAAATCTGGAACAAATACACATTCCCAACGTTGTAAGATGTGATAAGGTCAGATTTGAAAAGCTTCTGTTGTGCACGGCTGAAACTAATGCTACCAAGTTAGCGTAATTTGAATTGTTTGGATAGAGAGTAGTTGTGTAGGTATTTGATTGCCCTGGTCATATGTTGTCTTGAGCTTTAACATTTCATTATCATTTTTGTGAAATGACTATAGATCGTTTCTTGGAATAGGCCGCTTTAGCCGCTCTGTGACAGAAGGATTAAATGTGAGTGTAATGCAGCGGTTCCTGAAGTCAGGAAGCTAGACTGCAATATCAGCAAAGTTGCGCTGCGCTGAACTCGGGGCGAAGGCGGTAAAGTAGTTACCAGCTAACCGTAACAGTGCAAAGAATTAGTCGCTTTAGAAACCCCCAATGTATCGGTTACACCAGCCAACTTTCAGGGCCATCGCGTTGCGGTCCGAAGGAAAATGTTAGCGTTCCGATCACTCAGCTTTAGCGGAATTTAGAAAAGGCCGTGCTCCTTAGATAGCCACATGTGACTTTCGTGGTTGCACGTACCGCTGATGGCAGACTGAAAAACTCGTGACAGATGAGCCAGAGCAGATTGCACCAAGTAACACTAGGGTGTCTCCTACCGATTCAAGTGATGCAAAGTTTAATAACCGCGAATTAAACCATTCGTCTTTAAGAACTGCTCATTAGTCGTGATGTCTGCACCCCTAATAAGTAAGCAAACCTAATCCGAAAGAGGGACAAAACCCAAAATTCTATACCAATAGGCCTTCGTAATCAAAAATTGTACGAACTTTTGAAATACCTGAAGGAATGAAATTGGTGACTACAGGTCGTTGTGTGGGTCGGTTAATGTTAAAGGCACAATACAGCGAGTGCATAAATGTTCTTTATTGAGCCAAGATTAATGAATAAACTTGAATTCATCGGAAAATGATAAGCAGAAACGGGTAAGTACTCTTGCATTGGCAAGCACTACTCACAGTTAACAGCATGTCCTCGTATTATTAAGGATAGTGTGTGCGAATTTATCAATCTAGCCTGTGATACAAATAACGAAAAGGTTGACTATCGTTTTTATCTACTCTGATTTGTATCTAGGAAAACCCGAAATGGATGTAGACTGAAGCCTAGGAAGAAAAATAAATTTACCATATCATCCAGGAGATCACACTTTCCAGTTGGTGAGGTAAGTTCTATCACCTTTGTTAGTCCTCTAGACATGCAGCTCTCAATGGTAAATTTTACGTCTTTTAATAGTGGATCGAGTCTGTAGTTAACGAAAAAGGAAGACTGGATCAAAGATGATCTTATACAGGGGCTGTTTTATATTTCCGAGACAGTGGTAATACCTACGCAGATGTTGATTTTCCTAAAGTAGCTGACTGAGATATCCATAAGCGCACAGTATTCACATGACTTAAGGTACCTTTGGCTGCATTGAAATCGACTTTTCAATGAGAAGTTGTCTACGCTAAGTTATATGCTCGACGATATGGACGATAGGGTGCTCTCAATACCTAGAATTATGTTCTGTGGACGGAATTACGACGTTAAGTGAACTTTTGAGAAGATTCGTAGCAGCATGCTTAAGCCGGACAGCTACCAAATATCCAGGAAATCGCTGGACGGCCATTTCATCCTTTTGGTACTCGTCAGTAGCGCGCACCCGCAGGCTTCTTGGCTGTGTGACGGCTGTTTGGCTAAGTCTAGCTGCGAAGAATCTTCTCAAAATAACAATAGATCTCCCTACTACTCACTGTTAAGATCTTGCTGGGCCTGACCGATAATCCTACTCGATGCTCGACATTGGATAATATAAATTGGCTGTCTATCTCTCTTGACCTATTTCTGATCTTTCCAACTATACACTATTTCATCCTAAGTTCACCGTCAATAACCACGGTTAAAGCAGTCCGTTGCGGATTAGTTTGTGCTGAGTATTGCTTGAATGCTGTATTCATTGCTTTGTCCTGCAGTAGCTAACGGATAGGACATTTGAACTGTCACTTTCTTTCCATATTCGCAGGAACACTTTGTTTTCGCCTAAAGATGAGTTGTAGGGTCACAATATTATGTGCGCATAACCTAGAATCCGATGCGCCAAACATCATTTGCGCATCCACTCGTATAACTTGCCAAAGATTTGTGTCAGCCAGAGCCATAAACTTGCATACGAGCAAGTCAACTGCTAACAAACTTGAACGAAAGTCAATAAACTACCGAGGCGTTCAGTGAGCACTTGATCTTATGAAGTCAGTACTGGATGGAAGGTAATCAGAAGGGACCGAGCTCAGCTGAGGGGGCACCGGGAACGAGGTGAACCTGCAGCAAATTACTTGACGCCTTAGGGGATGGTCATAACGATAGAGGCAGCAAAGATGACGCAGAGCAGAAAAGCGTACAGAGTCATCTGCGAGACTGACGCAGACGATCCGGAACAAGGGAAGGATGTGATAGGATTGTGCAAGCAAGCTGCTAACTTTCCGCAACCCAACAGAGCAGTTGGTTGGATGCCTGTGCATATTTCGTCTACGCGCTGATCGGTTCGCCGGAGCCGGTTTGTTTATCTGTTTCGGAAGATGAATCTCGTGAGTGCAACAGCGTCGTTGGCTATGGAAATGACTTAGTTATTTATATCGAGGTTCCTACATTTTTGTCAAGCTATCGTTTCCGCTAAGCTTGCTTTGTCGAATGAACTGTTTGCCCTGAAGGACCGAGTTCTATGACAGCTTGCTCTTCTTTCAGGCTGCGCCGAGCGACGAATGTAACGTTTTAACTTTGTGCTCCCCTCTTGGACTGCATATTTAATATGGAAACGAATATACTTGTTGATCTACAGTGGTCATAGCTGTCCCTCAAATGTGCCGTGAGCTCGTCTCAACAGGCTCAAGTTTCAGTTCGTTACATATGCTGCTTTTGTAGATTGGAACGAATTGTCAAGATTTTCTTTATCTATGATACCTACGTCCCGTTCACTTGTCACCTGTTGCAGAACGTTCTGTCCCAGAAAATATGTGTTAATGAAGCTGCTATGCACCGCCTTCAGTCAGCAACACATTGCACAAATAGGAGGGATATGTCATATATGTCAACGAGAGCATACGGACAGAGAGTTGGGTAATTCGATGATAACTAAACAATCCAATGGAAGGTATACATCGAAAGAAACGTTAAATAATTACGGCGAAATGCGATCCAGGATAGCACCAATAGTTCTCACACGTTAAACTTTGGTAGCGGAAACGTTTGGGTTGTCATATGAAGTTGACTAGTCTGGCTCTCCGCATGTATTGTGGCATTCACCAATAGCTTTATACATCCGAAGAGTCTACTACTACAGATCTGACTGAATGACAAACAAGGACAAATAAACAAACCGATCTCTTTCAGATAGCATTACATTTCCTATGAACCGGTTTAAATTGCAAGCTACTGACTGACTACACTTGGCTCACTCTCCCCTGGGAAAATCCTCACATTGGATTCAGGCGGGTCGATAGTAAAGGGAAAAGCATAGAGGACAGTGCAAAATTCCACAACCAAGCATCCAAAGCACGCTGCAGTGCCGTGGAGTGTGGATTGATTTCATCCAAATTTGTGGTTCAGTTTGATGCCAAAAACAGCTTCATCACCATTATACGACCTCCGCGTGCGCGGTACCTACGGTATCTCTTCTTCAGCGTCTGGACTTTCCGGAACTCAGGTTTGTGGTTATTTGCCTAGTACACAACTAAAAGAGTGAAAGCGGAGAAGGCGAACAAGGATATTTCGAAGTGGGTCCACCTTCATTTCTGCGAATGCAAGCAGAGCTCTGCTTGCTTGTGATTAGGTGGACACGTGCGCATTATCGCGGTTAGTGACAGGCCCACACCTCCTTCAAGCTACCAGTGTTCTATGAATCTGTCAACTGAATGGCTGAAGAGGATGTGCATGCTCGTGGAAACTAGTCTTGTACTTTAAAGATTCATTCACTGCACTACTACTTTCGTCGATTACCGAAATACTAAACTGGTGTATGGTGGACCACACTGGATGTTTCGAAAGTAATGGTTTACTTTTGCATCCAGCCCTGATTGGACACCAACAAGCCGGATACGAAACTTTCGACACACCTGTTACAATGTTTGTACATATCTTTAATGCTAATGTTGGGTTCATATCGTGAACACCTCTTGGCAACCGCTGGGTGGGAATTAGGTTACGCCTTACTTCTAGCTAAGAGCCATGACAGCAATCTGCGCTGGTCAGTGAACTGATCAAGTGCTAGATCCGCTGCCTTTCGGATGTACATGTAATCCAAAGATTTGGCTGAAGAACCGAGTCTTTCTTCTGTCGGGTGTAGGCGTCCTGCGAGTATACTAGACAAACATTCTTCCTCTTCGGAAGTTAGAAACTGGTCGATGGCCATATTCCTATAAAACCTAACCCTGGGAGACAACAAGTTCACGGGTTATAAGCTCACAGCGCGATTGACGTAGAACACTAACGACACACGCTTTTCCTGACGGTGGGAGGGCGTCTCCGGATTTTCACTGGTTTGCTACCTCCCGCCTCAAGCCAGCCAGCCTCTGGTCAAATTGGTGCAAACCCGCCAAAACCCTTCTGCGTCTGGTCGTGGTTGCAGGTTGGTATCCTACCACGTTCGCAAAACATAAAAATAATTATAACTCTTCAAAGGCTGCGTGTGACGGACCTCAGTCAGATCCAAATGGGTCTCTGCAGTAATACTCCGGAGCTGGATCTGTTCCCCACTGTATTGCGGGTCAAAGTTGGGTTAAAGTTTCCGGGTAGCGTCCCTCAAGCAAACCCCAACATCATCCACTGCCTTTTGCATCAGGCTATTGAGCCAAAGGCTCCGGGTGGTATCCCTCAGGGAAACCTCAAGTAGAGTCACCACCTGGTGTGTGATTTCCCAACATTGCAATCGTATATCTGCGCGCAAAGCACTCAACATCGCGTGCTGGAACGTGCGTATTTTGCCGGACCGGAACTCGAGTGAGCACTCCCATCGACGCAGTGCATTGATCACGATGGAACTGGTTTGTTACAACATCGATATTGCAGCGATCATCGAGACCCGGCTTGCAGAGCAAAATAAATTGTATGATGTTGGGTGGGAAACGTAACCTCAGCATCACGTGAACATGGGGTCGGATTTGCACCATCCGATCAACTACATGGTGGGTGAGCCGAGTGGCATCAGCGTGGGACTGATGACTATTCGCCTATTACTCGGAAGTGGTAAGTTTGCCACCTTTATAATGCCACCTTTATAATGCGTTATCCTGATGACACGTGTGATCAGTTCTACACTCAGATATCCTCCGTGATACGGTCTGTGCCGACCAGCGACCGTCTATTTCCGCTGGGTGATTTCAACGCGCGTTGTGAGTGATGCTGCGCTGTGGACAGATGTCATCGGTCCGCATGGCATTGGTTCAGCGAATGTGAACGGTGACAGGCCGCTCTCACTGTGTGCCACTCACGGCCTGTCAATCAGGAACACTCGGTTTGCACTGAGTGCGAATGGTATACCAACGTGGACACACGAACAATGAACAATGAATTTATATGGGTTAAGAAGCGTTGCTTTACAAGTCCCGTTGGATAGTTGGTGGGGATAACAACATAACAATAATGATGATAAGGATAGTAAAATAGTTAATACTTTAAATATGAAAATAAGGACCTATCTTTTGCTCCGCTTTAGTCCTGGGATCCTCTTAGATTCACAGCACCTACAGTTAACAACTCATAATTCCATGGCAAACTCCAGGTGTAGGATAGAGACGCAGTGTTAAGTAACAAAGTATAAGTGGATAAGTGCATCGTCCAACCGTCTTTTAAATACTGTTAGTGTCGATGCAGAGACGACCGATTCTGGCAGAGCATTCCACGGGTGACAGACACCAATGGAAAAGAAATTTCTGCGGCACTCCAGACGACTGTATTTTTCTGCGAGTTTTAATGAGTGGCCCCTCAGGTTTGTATTGCTGCTGAGTTGCAGTAAAGGGCGGCATACATGATGTGGGTCTCGCAGAATCAAGTATGCCATAATCAGGTCGCCTCGTAGTCTGCGATAGCTTCCACTGAACACTCCCAATCGTTGCAACCTCTCCTGGTTGGAAAGATTGCACATTCCAATTACGTTTTTATATGCTCGGCGTTGTAGCTGCTCTAGTGCAT